GAAATCTGTTTTCAAGATTGGCTCGTTCACTGCTTCCATAGTCTGGTAGTGTGGCTGTCAATATCAAACTTTAATTTTAGGCCTTCATACGGATGTAGGTAGATCTCGACCACTTTAGCCAACAAACGATGCAATGCAGTGCTTTTTCTCTGGATTATCTTCTGAGTTGAAGACTCAAATTGTACATATGTTCATATTTCAGGCTCTTCTTTAACATGAATTTTATCTATAAGTCATCATCGTGTTTTCTGAAATGTAAATGTTCGTATCCAAACGAAGCATGTATTTTGCTATATTAATTTTACTGTGCTTTATTATTGTATAAAGACTTTATATGCGGCGTTTTATCACTTTGAGCTGAAATTTTTGCAGAAAGAAAACGTGCAAAATTTGGGTAATCAGGAAGCTCCACAGACAACTGCAAGCTTCAGTTCTAATACACGACGACCTACCACTGTAGGTAAAATTTTCTTCGCGAAATCACATATAACTTTGAATTTTCAGCATATTTACATTCTATTAATTTATGACACAGACGAGAAAATAACAACATACGAGACTGCTTTCACTGTTTCCAGTTGCAGTTGTTTTAACATAATGTTTATTGATGATAGATCCAGATCGATCTGAAACATCGGGATTTTGTTTAATTAAATTTATGTTAGGTAAATTCTTTGAAGATGAAGAACCGCTTACTATCATAAAACTTCACATGATCTCTTTAAAACACAATTATTTGTACTTGATTTATTTCAAAAACAAACATTTTATCCTTTGTTGCGTCACTCAGAAAATCCCTGGACTGTGCATATTTCACCTCGGATCATATTGTTGCAAATGGACTAGTCAACATAGGAGAAAAGACAAGAACGAACGAGTTATGTGTATGCTCTTTCGGACAAGAGTCCTTCAGCCTTGTCTGTTGTGTATGTTGCCATCCCAATATGGAGATTCATCTGAGGCCGCATTGACAAAACAAAAGGATGACTCGTAATTAAACGGTTGCAAAAAACTACTAAACTTGTCATTTAAATTATCTCAACAATATCATGTACAGTATGAAGTCTTCATTTAACAGGTTACTCGTTATACATTCTCAAAACTTCTGAGATTGCTGGATAATTGCATCGCCTGTTTCCTGTCAAGCAGCCTGATGCTTAAAAAACAACGTTCTTCTGCTGACGGTCCTGTAAGCATGAGGTAAATCAGAAGCACCTGAGTTTACATTCCGAATATTCAGTGATCCGGCTTTTTAAGCAAAACGATTTGGACGCAACCATCAAACAGTTACGGGGTTTCGTCAACGTTTCTTGTTCTTGAGTTTCGATTTCTTAGCACCGTTTGCAGACTTTTCCTCACGGGTCATCGGAATGCCATGGCCTACTATCCTAAGGAAACACAATAAAATCGTGAATTTCTGTTTTAGATCCATATTTTCAGTTCAACGTGGCCTTACCTTAAAAAAATGAACTGTCGAATCCATTCTTTGCATTCTTTCTCGGTTGCTGGATGTCGAGGTTTGAGACCCTCGTAAAGCATGGCATCAATTTCTTCAAGGATTTCAGCAATTTTTGCGCGTTTCATTCTCTTCTTGAAATGCACAGACGTTTTAATGCTTTGCGTTAGATTTAAACGAAAATGGCGTAAAAACTTTTCTTTCGATAACACGCATCTCCATGCTTTTCAGTAAAGTAAATGTCGTGGCAACAAAGTACCTTGTTTATGCGAAATGATACTCTTCGCGACAAGAGTACGAGAAAAAGGGACACATGAAGGACACGTTTCCCGTGATCGTAATGGACCGGGGTCATCCTCGAAAAAAACTGTCTGAACACGCATCAGGAAAGCGATATTACTCTAATCTCAGAACGGGGTTGCTTGGTCGGTAAAGCGACCCAGAACCGAGCGATACCGGGTCTGAGTCCTACGAGGTCCGTTCAGCTTTTTTTTTGTTTCTGCGGTTGATAACTGAATACCCCTCCTTAGGAAAGAAGCAGGAGACTAAATGCGAAACTTGTCGCATTAGGGTGGAAGTAGTTTAGAAATGGAAAGGTTAATGTAGAAACAGCTTTAGGTGATAGAATGGAAGATCAAAGCCGCATCATACACTTCACAAATGACCCACAGTCATGAAACTGTTTTTCTATTTACCCCTTCCTCGAAACTTCCTTCCTGTTCTCCTTATTACAATGTCAAACATACAGGGAAACTTTGTAAGGATTCAGTGAATATAACGATTAACGGATTCATGAACTAAAATAATGCCCTTTGTTTCGCCGATGGCAGCCACATGCTGCAGATGGCGAAATCAAAGTTTATTAGCCTTACCTTTAAGGAGAACCGTAAGAAACATAGTCAACACGCTCGCTACAGTCTATCAGCCAATAACCTAATTTTTTTACGCTGTGCATGATTAAAGTTTGGGAGGGACTCTTGTTTTTGGCGTCATCTCAAAAGCTGGTTGCTTTTCAGAAGAAATACCTTATACTCGCGGAAGGCTGTTGAGGTACGCACCTAACCTTCGTTAAGTCCTGTCACCTGATAAACCAGCCATTATATTCTGTTGTGTATAACAAACCAATGCTGTGCTATTCTTCAGTGTGATTATCAACGCACGAACAAAATACTACATACATGTAGCGCATAGATACTTAAATTTCACCTAATTATCTTAAAGTACAAGTGAATAAACTTGATTTATATAGAAACTAAAGGACAGCTAGTTTTCTATTACCATTGCCTCACTAATTAATCATTTCGTTATTCATTGTATGTTTCCCTCGCTAAAAATTACAAGCTCCATTTGACTTCGTCCTGATAATTGCCTCCTCACCATTTGTCGCTGACTGCCCGTCATGAAACTGTCGAAAGAATCGATTGTCGAAAGACGGTTTGAATACTTTCGGCAATCAGCACGGTGTGGTGGGATCTGCCTAGTTTTGCACAACTCCGCATTGAGCAATTTCCATTACAAGCTTGTGTATGAAAGACACAACCTCACTACAAGAGTCTGACATGGGACTTCTCGCATAGCGTAGAAAATGAGTTCAAAACTCGTCCATTTTCTACTGTTTGTCAGTTAGTCGCGACGAGTAGTCAGTGGGCCCTCTGTTTCGCGTCAACCTGGCGCAGAGCACAGAATTGTTGCATGTTTTCTTTTCTCGCTCCTTTTCATACACCATTTGCAGTCGTCGCACAGAAGTTCTTGTGCCCATTTCTGCAACCGCAATGGAAAGAATTAGGAGCATCACTCGGATGAATGAAACTCGAAGTTTGGAAGCGTAACGGATTGGAACCGACTAAATCTTTTCCGTGCTGTTGTCTGTAAGATATACAGAAGCGAGGATACAGCGTATGAATCAAGCATGGCACCGTCCAAAGTCGTATCAAACAAAATGGTCCAATACCTTCGGGAATGTGGTAAGGCAAAGGAAACAAATATTTCCTAGTGAACTTGCTAACTCACAAATTTCCCTCTTTTCATATTCAAACCCTGCAAATTGTTCTTGACGAAAGCTGAGGAACTGAACCATAATAAACGAAGGGGAAACGAATGGACAACCAACAAAAGAGCACAGAATTTTACCTGCTGTGGAGAAAAAATAAAAAGAAAATAAATATTGAACCACATTCGCATATTCCACGAACAATGGGATGGTCTGTTCTTCAATCCAACGAGGGCAAGAAATCGTTAAAACACGATAACGAACAACCGGGTGCTTATATAGTCGTATATCCTAGCTTTCAGTGGCTTACAACATCATTTATAGACCGAGGTCGCTCAGAGAGTATAAGTCGGACTCAGAATCGATAGTCCAAGGTTTGAGTCACGCTGGAGTCAGCAGAGAAGCTGATAAGTGCATACGACACTGTGGCAAGGCAACAGGGGACTGCTTGTCCCATCGCTCTGATGATTCTGCCTTTAAAAGAAACCACTCACCACTGCCTAATGACATGGAAATGGAAATTCACGATCCAACATGAACTTTATGAAGTCATGGGCGCTAAAAACAGCCTCATTATGAAAATGTACATTCGAACGGTTACAAACATTGGTACTGTTCTTTCTTTTCCTTCCAAAGCTATTTTATGGAAACATTTATTCATCAATGCAGCAGACCAAAGCTGTGCACTGAATATCTAAATTGGACATCGGTTCATAAAAACAAACAGCATTGCTGACTCGAAAATCCAAATTCATGCCATCCATGAAGTCATACAAATAACTTACGAGATTTATAGAACTGTCTCATGGTCTAACCGCTATTACGAACTGGAACTAAAGGCGATCAGCATAAAGAAATCATTAAAGCGTTTATCACACTTCTTCCCTAATAAACTTTCGTTCTCAACGATGCATGTAAAATATATGCTGCATGCTTGGTTCTTACATTTTCTGCATAAGTAATAGACACGTCGTCTGATGCTCCCGCATCGCTTGAAATTGACGAATCCGAATCGAGTGTGACGATCGACGCTCTTCTGTCGATCCTAAAATTTGACCTTATTCAAAAACTGAACGAAGCACTAGGGGGACTGTACAAATGATAAGCTGAACGGCTTTTGGAAGGAGTCGTTGATGGCGTCGGATAATTGCTGTCGCTCGTGTTCGGCTCGACGTCCGCCAACCCTGCCTTTTTAGCTGAAAACAAAGTATTTTTCAGAAACTTCGTCTTCACCACGAGTGCTGTCAAGAGAACATATGCTTCAGAACACGAACTGTTGAACAGTTAATAATTTAACAACGCGTTCGTTCATAATTTTAATGAAACAGAAGACGCTGCAAGCTGAACACTAACTTGAATTTTAAACAAGGCTTTTGTAACATTTAGATTTCTACTTTTACTTCATCTTTGCATTTGCAATAAAGTATTACATCGTATGCATAGGGCATTCAACATGGAACTGTTTCTTATAATCCTGAATTCGAGCGTAGGTCACCACAAAGCCAGTTAATTAATCGAGCGAACTTTGTTAACGCAGCTTTCTTCTATAATTAAAGCCGCCCCCCGTGGAACAAACTGGTTTTCGACCTAGTAGCAGTTGTTGAGAGCAATTGCTTTCGCTTACCGGGTTCATCGAGGCACGAATTAGATGGACACCAGGATTACGGATGGTTTTGATCGACCTATCATCGGCTCATGATATGGTCTCTGTGCAAAGTTTCCAGAATAATTACGTGTCAGCGGGCGGATATTTCGCTTTATCGCAGGGTTGATTAGCGACCGTCAAGGTGACTGCGGATTAGCAACACTTTTTTCGAATGCCCGCTGTGAAAGTTCGACTGCAGCACAGCTGGTGTCCATAATGCTAACGCGGCGGCCGTTCATCGCCTTAGTCGTTTAGACATTGAACTACAAAGTTGCTAGTCATTTGACCCCCAGCAATACGACGGAAGAAGAAGGCAGAACTGGCTCAATCACCGACGTTTAATCAACCCCTGCCCGCAAACAGGTAATTTTCCTGTTTCGTTGTGTACCTATGATTATCACTATAAGCTTGTAATGCATGCTATAAGAAAACCTAACGAATTGCGTCGGAAATTCCTTCATTCTCAAGCCCTATCATATTGTATGAGTCAACATTCTCACATAAGCATGTACGTAGACGAAATATGGCACATTATTATTAACTCATTAGTGTTTCCTCCTTTTTACGTCAAGACAACCGATCGTTAGAGTGATCAATATGTTACAGGCAAAAATCGATTTCGGAGGCAGCAAGGGAGACCAACAAAGTGCTTCTTCTGCGTTGTGACGGCCTGTAATCATTGCTTGCAGTGAACAACGTGTCCATTAACATTTTAGAGTTCGTTAATGAAGCAGTCTAATAAGCCAGCGGTGCACGCAATGCGGATCCCTCCTCGATTCTTTGTTCTGCTCCAGTGCGGCAATAGTCTATTATTGACGCGGCGCCGGGATCAGCTATGCAAGCCTTTAATTAATTATTTAATCACAGAAATAGAGTGTTCTTGTCGCTGTAGATTTCTGCTTTTGTTCAGCTATCAGATTTTACGCCACATATTTCACAGGAATATCAGTAAATATCAGTGCTAAACCAAACGTTCTCATTAAATCTTCATTTTCTTCGGCGATCAAATTTTTATGACTTATCAGCAACATCACAAAGGGCATTGAGAAGAGAAATAAAATGTGCAGCCACTCGGTACCAATCGGATTACCATCAAATCCATGTA